GCAAATTCCATTTGAACTTGGTTTTAGGTGTCATGGATAATGCAATACAAGTCTAGACTTGTTCCTTTCTGCCAGTTAGTTAATAAAATATTTACTGAATGCCTTCCAAGCGACAGGTATTGGACCTTTCTATCCTGTGAGCCATGGTCCCTGTGTTCACAGAGCTCATGGACAAACAGAGGAATGCATGTAAGTAACCAATCAGGATACTGTATAGTGAATGCCAAAGTGGTGACCAGACACTGCTGGAAACACAAAAAGGGTACCTAATTCAGATTCTGGGACTTGGGAAGGTTTCCAGGATGTTTAAGCGCAAGCCTACATAATGAATGGTAAGGACAGAGAGAAGAAAATCTTTTAAGCAGATGGGAACGCCACATACAAAACCAGGGGGTGTTGGTCATGGTCAATTCATGCAATTCAAAGCATAATCAACTTTAATACATTTTAAAAGCCTTCCACTCCAAAGGCAATTCAATATTGCAATAGTCACAAAAGTGTGTATATGTGTGCACACGTGTGTTTACAGAAGAGACAAGGTTGGAGGTACTCACAGCACACAAAGATAAAGCACCTCTTAGGCCTTATAAAATGTGTGGACTTTATCCTACCAGAGGTGAGATACCACTGAATGACTTCAAGCATGGGAAGGATCTGAACATATTGATATTTTAGAAAAGTCTTTCTGCAGATCTCTACTGCTATGAGAATGATCTCCAGGATGTTATAGATGAATCATGAAAGGTACACAACAGAATGTTATCTTCTGTCTAAAAGAAGATGGAGGAATATGAATATATTTGCATACAAATATATTTTTGTCTTAAAAACACAATAAAAAAGGAGTAATCCAAAAACTAACTGTAACGGTTATGCCTAGAGGAAGGAAGAAGGGGGCAGAAAAGGAAGCTAAACTTGTCTTCATGTAATTCGTTTACTGTGGTTTTAGAACCACAGGCAAGTATTTTTGTTTTCTTCTTTAGACAGTACTTTGCACATAGAATGTGCTCATAAATATGTGAAATACTCTCAAAAACAGAATTGTTTTTTACAAAACAAAAATTTTTAATGTTTTTAAAAGTTGGGTAAAAAAATTATCGGGGAACAAGATTTTCACAAGATGTCAAAGACTCTACAGATTACTTGCTACTTAGAAAGATACAAGTGTATGTTAACTGTTGACAGAGATGGCAATTGGCACCTTAATTACAGATCAAACTTAGCATCGCAAATAGTGGACCATCTTGACATTATATGTCTCCTGGCATGATGTAACATAAACTACACAGCAACACCAATGATATGTTTTTGCGAAAAAATTACCTAACTCCAAATCCATCAAACCTTCAACTTGATAAACATTTCCAAAATGCCCAAAAATAGATGACTGGATTAAAAAGATGTGTTACATATACACAATGGAATATTATTCAGCAACCAAAAAAGACAAACTCAAGACTTTTGCAGCAACATGGATGGAGCTGGAAGGGATCATGTTTAGTGAAATAAGTCAGAAAGAAAAAGAAAAATACCAATAGTTTCACTCACAGCAGGGGCATAAGAGATCGGGGGGGGGGGGGGGAAGCAATTGTAATAAAGAAAAAATGAAAATCAATGAACAACTACGAACCTGAGACATTCTATGGAAGTGGAGAGGGGAATGTGATTGGAATTGGGGTGGGAAGAGTGCACTGGAATATGCTGATGGCACACGGGTGAAACTGGTGGTGGGAAGTCCATGGGGATTACAACCAAGATGATGAAACACACAAAATGATGTAAAAAATAAATAACTTTTTAAAAAGTGACTGAAATAAAAAAGAAAATACAAGGGTTGGAAGGACAAGTTAAGCAGTAACAAGAGGAAACTAACATCAATAATCAACTCCTAACATACTCATTCTTCAAGATAACTCACAGATTCTTCAAAAGACCAATCATGAAAAAAGGGCACTGCCCCACATTAAAAACAAAAAACAAAAAACAAAAAACTAGAGAGAACCACCAAAGGCAAAATATGAATCAGTTTTTAAAAACTATAAAAGACACGTTTGGAATAACTAGGGAAAGCTGAGTATGTATGGGATACTGGAGATGAAGTTATTAATTTTCTTAGTATAAATGTACTATGGAATTATGGTAACGAAGAAAACTTTATTAGCATGCTGAAGCATTTAGGGTTGCAGTATGCAACTATCTTCAAATGGTTTAGCAAAAACAAAACGTAGTGTGTAGGGAGGAGAGCAAGAAGGTGAGAGGGAAGAACTCAAGCAAGATGATCAAAAAGTAAACTGGAAAAATAGTCACTAGTGAATTTACAATAAAAGGCATGAGTGTGTGGGCTATTCCTTCAAAAAATTCTCTGTAGGTTTGAAAATTTTCAAAATTAAAAGTTGGAGGGCCCTCCCTGGTGGTGCAGAGGGTTAAAGCACAGCAGTATGGAGCAATCTGCAGCCACTGCAGCAGGAGTTCGATCCCCAGTCAGACCCACATGGC